GCAGCTACGACCCCCTCAGTGACCCTCGGAGGCTCTCACAACCGACAGCTAGCCACGCGCTCAGGAGCGCGCCGGGGCGCCAGGGGCGGTGCCAAGGCGGGAGCCAATGGCGGCACAGGGGCGGGGCATCAGGGCAGGCCAATCATGGGAGGGGGCGGATCCGGCGACCGGCGTAGCTTGGGTTTAGTCCTCAGCTGAGCTGCGCATGGAAGTGACCCCAGCCCGTCTGTGGGTGTGGTGAACCTGGGTTCCTGGTTTCACCTGGTGAGCCAAGTTTATTCAACCCTTTACTTCCAGTGTCTGTTATGTTCGGCCTACAGGATTGTAAAAGCCAGCTGACTCAACTAGAAAGCAGTACCAGGGATTGGAGGTGGTGAAGTAATTTGTCAAAACTCATATATTTCCTGAAATCAGTTTATATACACCCAAACGGTGGAAAAGCAGGGTCAGGACTGCCCTGGTTCAGTGGCGCCGCTCTGTGTCCTTTGGATCCCACCACATGCAGTCTCCTTGAACTGGTTCTTCTGGGTGAGAACCAGTCACATGTGGCAAGTTAACGCGACAGGGCTTAGTAGGAAGCAAACACTTGGTAGACAACTAGTGGTGTAAACACCTTTTACTTTTTTTTTTTTTTTTTTTTTTTTGGCAGAACGGGGAATTGAACTCAGACCCTTGCATTGCCAGGGAAGCGCTTATTCCACTGAGCCATCTCCCCGGCCCCAAAACCTTTTACTTTTTGCTTATGAAGTCTTCTGATCCAAGTTTCATAGGAGGCAAAGTAGGGCTGCCCTGGTTGAAGGGGAGTCCAAAGGTGTCCCAAGTTCCTGTAACAGAATCTGGATGCTTTCTAAAACAGTCTGTGTAAAAAAAACTGTTTTGGGAGTGTGGGTAACCACTCAGTCTGCTTCAAAGATAAAGAGCATGAAGGGACATGACCTTGCTTGTCTAGTGCAGGCGCACAGTGGGATACGGTTATGTCACCATTACTCAGCACAGGTAAACATGCATGCGCTAGTTACGTAATGTAAGAATGTAAACATGAGATAACCATCTGTGTAAGAATTACAAAGACACAGGCCACTTGGTCGCTGTGCTCTGCTCCATGCTGCTTGCTGTTGTTGCTGGTTTTGCACATGTGCACTCTTGAACCTTGGGACTTCACCTGCGAAAATCTCCCATAGGTCCCCCGAGCCAGCCCAGAGAGCAGACCCAAACTTCTTAGGAAGGCAAGTTGCATTTTCCTGACACTCAGAACAACTTTTACTTCTGAACACTGTGTTCCTTTTGCCTCAGTGTTTTTTTTTTAAATTTTATTTATTTATTTATGTGTGTGAGTGTGTGTGTGTGTGGCCAGCTCAGCTCACCAGGGGGCAGGGCTGGCTGGCATGTGGTGCTGGGGAATTGAACCGCGGTCCCTTTGCTTTGCTAAGCTTGTTCTAAGTAGGTGCTTTAGACCACTGAGCCATCTCACCAGCCCTGCCTCAGTGTTTTATCTAAAGTGATTCTGTCTGCTGAGAACATTCTCTTTTCTACATAGTGTAAGGTCCAGTTGCTTTGGATATTAAATGACCGCCAATCACATGTGCTACAAGCTCTATCTTCAGCTTGTGGTACCTGCAAGAAGTAGTGCGTGATGGTGTTACAGGCAGTCTGAGTTAGATAGAAAATTACAGGCAGTCAGACAGGGTCAGGCCCTCGAAGGAAATAACAACAGCCAGGCACCTTACAACTTTGGGAAAGATGGAGGCCCCTGCTGTAAATCGAACCTAAAGACTGGCATCCAGGATCAATCATTACTCAGGAAGAATTATGGTCTGAAGGCCTCCTGATAAGGTCCTGTTTTACATTCATGCCTGCTTGCTATGTGACTCGCTCCCCCATTTGGTCCTGGACCTAATCAATTTTACCTGAGCAAATGGTGCTTGTAATCCCATTTGTTGACCATAGTTTAGTCCCACCCTGCATCTGCCTAAGTGAGACCCCTTTGTCCCTACCTCAACCCCACATGGTTTTACACTATAAAAGTCCCTGGAAGAAACAGCTTCCTGGGCAACCCACTCGGGTCCCCCTTCTGTCTCTCTCTGACAGAAGCTTTCCTTTCCATTAAAGTTTTACCCTCAACCTCCATTTGTTCCTAAAATTCATTCTTCAGTTTTAGAGAACACAAACTCATCCAGGCCAGGTTGGGAATTTCACGTCCCTATATCAATGGGAGGAAGTTGGGTCATTTGTCCCTTAGGGGACACTGGGACCCCAGGCCCTTTCCTCTCCTCTTGGTCCCCGGCCATGATATTAGCAGATTTGCTCCACCACACACTCCCTGCCATGATGTAATGCCTTGCCCACAGGCCCAAAAGCAACAGGACCAATTGACCACAGACTTAAACTGTGAGCTAACAGAAGTATTCCCCTTACACGTTGATTGTCTTGTGACATCAATGAAAAGCTGACTTAACCCAAGCTCTGATTCAAATTATACCTCTTTCATGAATTTCTATAAGAACTCACTGTAACATTTTCTTACTTTCACCATGTTGTAGATATCTCAGTGAACAACAGCAGTTGTTTTCTGTCTAGTTTTAGGAGTGTAGCTAGTGTCTTTGTGATAGGGTGAATCAAATGCCGTGTTTTCATTGGAAAATGATTTTTCTGGGGATACAGGGAGGAAAGATAGGGGTCCAACTGGAAAGGAGGACTTGCTAGGAGTCTTGTGGCTTCTCCAGAAGCAATAGAATCCCGGAGATTTAAATGCTTTGGGTCCCTGTAAGCAAGATGAAGGCTACATCCATAAATGAAGTTTAAGAATTCTCACTAGGTCAGAGGACTGAGCCTAGATTTAATTTGAGTTAGTCAACTAAAAAAATGTGATGCCACTTGTTTCTAAAGTGGCATGAAGGTGCTGGCCCCACCCCTTTGGCAAGCTGAGACAGTGATTGAGACTGGGTGTGGTGGGGCCCCGCCTATAATACCAGCACTTGGGAGGCTGAAAACAGGAGGATCACTATGAGTCTGATTTGTGTAGTGAGACCCTGTACTAAAAACAAAAAAGTCATCAATCTCAATGTTTTCTTCCCTGATCTTATATCCACTTGTCATTCTCAACTGTCTGTCATTATGCTCTAGGCTTTATTATTTTTTAGCTCTGCTATTACACCAGCCTTCCTCTGTGTTGCTCTCATCTTCACCATACCCTCTGAAATCTATCCATCCACCCAAATCCTCTCCACTCTAGAAGGTTCAGTTCAAGTAACACATTCTAAGTTTTCCTCATGAGAACAAGTTTTGAAGTATTCATGTGGCCTATAGCTATTTGTCCCTATCTCATTTCCTTGTAAGGTTCCTGAAGTGAACTAGTATGTCCAATTCATATTTGTATTCTCCACAGTGTCAGTCTCCCTCTAGAAGCCAAGTTCCTTTAAAAGCAGAGCTCTTGGTTAGTTTGTTCATCACTGTTCTCCCTGGTATTTCACACAGTGCCTGGCACAGTGGCATGTTGTACGTGTATTGTGAGGGAGGGAATGAATGGATTTTGTTTGTTTGTTTTTTAATTATTTATTTATGTATTTGGTGGAACCAGGGATTGAATTCAGGCCCCTGCACTTGCCAGGGAAGCGCATGAGTGGATTTTGAAATATAAGCACAAAGGCAGGAATTTTATCCATTAAAAATGAATACTACTTGAACACATGGTTGTGAAAGTCCACCATTTATTGTATATAATAAAAATATTTAATGTAACTTTATAGAATGTAATATATTTATGTTGTCTTTTATGCAACTAATTCAGAAGATGATATAGCTTTCTAAAAATAAAAAATCCTCCAAAACAGCAGGAGTAAAATTTAGAAGAATCAAAATGAAGGATGTTTATATCAAAGCCCATTTCAATATTTTTCCTTGCCCTTTTCTGCCTTCTTCAATAAAATGTATTATTTTATAATCAGATTCAGTAAATGTGTATTAAATGCCTACTGTGTTCTATGCTCTAAAATAATAAGGGTTCAAAGATAACTAAAACAAGTCTTCTACACCAGAGAAGCCAATTTAATAGCAGGCAAACATGTACACAACCTCAAAAGGTCAGAGGTGTGTTCTGTTAGACTGGAGATCAGAGCAATGTGGCTGCTTGGTTGGTCAGTGTTTGAGCAAGCTAACTCTGATTTCATGAGCCAGGTCACCGAGAGAAGAGCTTTGGCTTTTGGGCTACATTCACATCTGTAGCTCAGCGGTAGAGAGCTTACGTAGCACATGTAAGGCTCTAAGTTCGACCTCCCCTCCAGCACATAAACAAACAAACAAACAAAAAAACCAGAAACAGAAACAAAAAGAAAAGTAAGCTATGACTTTAAGTGTGGTGATAAAACCAAGACTTCACTCTGACATCAACATTATATAGCAATAAATAAATTCCTACTAGGACTTTTACTGTCCTAAGCATAACTTTTCAAAGATCACAGAAGAAATGAAAAAGCCAGGACTCAGTAGGCATGGAAACTTAGTGGTTGCCAAAGTTACCACAAATCACAAAACTTATGAAAATTGACAGTAAGTTTAAGCAAGCTACTGGGTAGCTGGAATTGGTCTTTCCTTTGTTACCTCTGAATTGTAGATATGTCCTTATAAAAATTAACCCATTTACATCAAAGATTGAAATTTTTTGAATGTGTGCATGAAATACATGTATGATACCTAGAAAAATTCAAGGAACAAGAAGTTGAGGGACGACCAAATAGTTCAGCAGATTAAAGTACCTGCAAGCAGGCACAGTGGCTGGGGGTTTGATCCCCAGGCCTGCCTGTGCTGGCCCCACCCCTGGGGCACACTGAGACAGCAATTGAGACTAGGCATGGTAGTGTTCGCCTGTAATTCTAGCTCTTGGGAGGCTGTAAACAGGCGGGTCACTATGAGTCCAATCTAGTAGTGAGACCCTGAACACCCTGTAGACCCTTCCCAAAAAAAAAAAAAAAAACCAAACCAAACAAACAAAAAAACCCAACCAAACAAGAAGTTGAAAAGAACATATTTCATTATGTTCTGTTGTTATGGGTATTCCAAAAATGGATCTAAGCATCGAAGAGTAATGATATAAAATAAGGAAGTGTTTGGGGAAAGAAAGCAAGAAGGTAGAGAGATCAGACATAGAATATAATACCCAAGGTGCTAAGGGAAAGGGCTCAAGCTGCTACATAAAGAAGTAGGCACACTTTTGATTCTATAATATTTTAGACTTAAGCATTACACATTTCAAAATACAACCTGCTAGAACTAGCCTCTGGTAACAGTTTTCTGAACGTTATGTTCATCATTTTCTTCTTTTCACCTCTAAAACTGCACAGAAGTCTGTTGAGGAACTTCATCTTTGTTTTGATGTTCAAGCTTCTGGAGAAACCTGGGGCCCAGCAAGCCGATAAGTATGCTTCCAATGGGGGCTGTGATAAGAATGGACAAAAAGGCCACTGTCAACACATCCATCCCATAACGTTCTAACTGCTCCTCTGCATGGGACCGTGCTGTGTCCAGAGCCACTGATCCTATTGCAGCCTAAAGATGAAGACAAGACAAGCACATATTTACAAAATAACAACAATAACAATAATAATCTGCTTATTCTTTTGCCCAAGTAAGAAAGTTGTGTTAGTTGTCCTTTCAAAGTGTACTGCAGTTGGCTTTGGTTATGCCTCTCTACCCTTGCACAGAGCTCATGCATATGTACCTATTTGTAGGGTTCTTAAGTATCCGGCACATACATCTCAAAACACATGGAAAATACAGCCAATGTTAATCAAAAGCAGGTACAGCATACTCATTTCTGCTTACTAATTTCTAATGACTTTCATTTTTTTGTTGTTTTTAAGAATTTGGAATTTTTTTTAAAAAAAGCAAGGCATGGTACATGCCTGCAATCCCACCCCTCCCTCTGGGAGACTGAGGCAGGAGGATTGGAAGTTGAAGCCCAGCTGGAGCAGCTTGGTAAGATCTGGCCTCAAAAACAAACAAGAGCTGAGAATGTAGCTCAGTAAAAAATCCCTGGGTTCAAGTTGTATGGTATGTGTGTGTGTGTGTGTGTGTGTGTGTGTGTGTGTGTGTGTGACAGAGAGTATCGGATTCTAATGTGCTGTTTCAGTTGTTAGTTTAGAGCCTAAACTAACTTTGAAACATGAACCATGGAAGTGTTCATATGAAACGTGAAGTTAATATTATTAGATGTTGGAATAACTGCCTCCAAACTTGGTAGTGTATTTGATTTAGGATACACTGCTGGAAAGTTTTATGAAAATTCTCATCTTTTTAGAGGTAAATGTAATATTCTGAGTACACACAGTACATGTCAGAATAGTACATGATGAAGTTGAAGAGAAAATATTGTGCATCAGACAGCATGATAGCTGCAGTCACCCTGCCATCCAGTCCACAGAACTTCAATTTTCCAGCGCTTTGGCCACTAGGTGTCGTTGTTCATCGAAGTTGTGCCCACCATAAGGGTGTGGATGGGACGAGAGCCACCCTTCAATGCTCCCTGGGAAGGAACAGCCAGTCCTCAGTGTGGCCTCCTTTCAACCCTGGGGTTGCAGGTAGCAATTGTGATTCGTGGCTGGGCAGCCTCTGCTGAGGTCAGTATTCACCGGGCCTCTGATGGGAAGAGGGACAGCAATCTCTCACCCAGTCCCTGGGCGCAGAGACTCTGTGTTACCCTGCTGTTTCCTGCCCCAGACAGAACTAACTCAACAGTGAGTTCCTTGTAAGAAAGTCAAATATTACACTAGTGTATGTTTCTCCTTCAGCGCTCTCTCTGTCCCTCTGACTGAGACCTTTTGGGATTTGTATGTATGACATACTGCGATGTAAAATATATTTCTTGTAACATAAGATTACAGGAAAGGATTTTTAAACACTTAATACAGAATAAATATCTATATGATGCAGTGTGTTATTGAAACTGTACTTTCGATTTGATTTGAAACTGTCTCATTGCTATATGTTCATCAATAAAACTTTGAAAAGAAAAAAAATCATCTAAATTTAAAAAAAAAATCTATATGAAAGTCTTACTTCTTGTGCAATACCCACAGAAGAAAACAAAAAAATTTATATGATCCAGTCAGCCCTACATTTCCCTGTTCTGTATCTATGAATTTAACCAAATATAGATTGAAAATATTAAAAATCAATTGCATCTGTACTAAACATGCACAGCCTTTAAACAAAAAAAAAAAAAAAAAACTATTCCCCTTTGAGATAACTATTCACCCAGGACTTACACTATAGTAGGCTTTACAAGTAATCTGGAGGTGTTTTGAGGCTATGGTAGGATGTGCGTCACGTACATATGTGGGGATGTGGGAGGGGCCAATGGATGGCCCAGTGGGTCCCCAAGGATGCCTTCCACAACACACACAGTATCCAACACACCCTCAGTATTTTCTCCATATCTTAAAATACTGATTTGATGTTAGGCAGATGGTAATTTTGAAATATTAGCATCTAGAAACACATTTTCCATATATAGAATCACCATTTTGATATTCACCTACTGAAGTTACTACAAATAGTATTAACCACTATGTAGCAGTCTGGTGGACAAAAAGAAAAATCTCTGAGATAAAGCCCAAGCCTGCAACTGCATACAGTCTGAACCTAATTACAGAACATATGCATCTTCCAAAGCCTTCTAAATTAAGAACATCTGATTTTCACTGCATGAAAATAAAAGTCTGCAGATGTCAATAAATGGCAAATTAATCAGAGAACAGTTGTCTTAATTGCTGTAAGTAACCCCAAATGCACAATACTATATATTTACATAGTAAATACATTAGACATTTGCAACAAGTTATAATTATACAGTTCTAACTTAATGAACAATTACAGGTATCCTAGCATATTCACAATCAGCATTTAAAGCACTATCTATAAGTGCTCTCCTTGTTATTCGTCAATTAGAGCACACAGATTTTTGGGTCAAGAGATTAAGACATTTCTTAGGTGTTTGGGCTAGTTGTGAATAATTAATAGCAATTAAAGATCTAGCAAATCAAATTCAATACAATAGTCCCCCTTATCCTTGGGAATGTGCCCCCAAAATTCCCAGTGCATCTATGAAACAGACATAGCTTCTGTATATATGAAAATGGCTTGCTACATGATTTTTCCATATTAAGCTAAGAACTTTCACCTTTTAACCTACAAGAAGTGCTTTCTGTCTTCTCTTTGGCATATACAAATCATGGGCACCACTGTACCCCATGCTATGGGCCATTGTTGTGTAAAGCAAAGATCACCTGAACACAGCCCTGCTACACTGCAACAGGTGACCTGACACCTGAGACTAACAGGTGTGCCCAGTGTGGACGAGCTGGGCAAAGGGAAGATTCAAGTTCCCAGGTGGACACTGCACAATGGAGTGGGACAGTGCAGTGTTTCATCCTGCTATCCAAACAGCATGCAGCATGAAACTTACAAACTGTTTCCTTCTGGGATTTTCTATTTAGTATTACTGGATTGTGATCAGACATGGGTAATAGAAGATGCAGGAAGCAAAACTGTGGATAAAGGAGGACTACTGTAAAGCATTTACTGAGTTTTTCAATAAATCTTTTCTTGATTGTGTATCCTGGTATCAACAATAATATTGATATGTGAATACTTCCAAATAGGCCATGCCATTTCTGTTGTCCTCTCTTTTGGAAGATATTGAAATAAAAAGAGTTCATATCTTTTTAACTAAAGAATTCTAAATCTCTCCTGTTGCTACTGCTTTTTATTCATATAGGGGTTTATTCAACTTTCAGTTTTATTCTGATGTTTTAAAAGGATTTAAATGAGCCATTGAGATATATCAAGGTTTTCATTTTGAGGAGTGGTGTTGGGATAGAACCCAGGGCCATTTTACCACTGAACACATTCCCCAGACCTCTATTTTACTTTTTATATTTTTAAAAATGTAAGATAGGGTCTCAGTTGTCTAGACTGCCTCTGACTTCCAACCCTCCTGGTTCAGCCTCCAAAGTAGCTAGAAACTGCAGGTGTGTACCATCTCACCTGGTGCAAGATAAAACTTTTAAAGAATAGATTCATGTAACTATAAATCCATCTGGAATTACTTATTGTCATCACATTTTTTAAAAAAAGCCTTTTTATTCACTATTTTGAGGGATCAGAGAGAATCAGCAGTTGAAATGGCGAGTCATCCTGTCCATCGTTACCTGGACTGTAGCCTTTGGAAGCCAAGCAAAAGAAATAAATAACTTTTCCTTTATATTAAAGCCAGCAAAACACACCATGAGAAATGTGGTCACAATTCGTATCAGCACTGCAGCACCCAAGGTAGCAACGCAGAAGCCTGCAAGAAAGATACAACTTTTAGAAATAACGAAATACTGGTGGAGAAATCACAGCTCATGTAAAGCCACTGATCCAAAATACTACCAATAGGAATAATGACAAAGGGCAACATTTGGGCTACGTATGGTGTGGAGGACACAAGGGGCTCCAAAAAACCAGCAAGATTCAGTGAAGAGTGTTTAAAAAAGATGCAGTAGCACCAAATGTTGCTGAGAGGTGAAATAAAGACTGGACTCAGTCATATATCTTAGGAGCGCTTGGACTGAGGAAAAGAACTGGTGCTTAAGTGAATAAGGGGAATGGAGCTATTTTTTCTTTTTGAAAAGTTGGGAAGAAGGAAAGTGTGGTAGGAAAGAAGTAAAGCAAAATGGAGAAAGTACATTATCATCTCTCCATCATTTTCAGCATATTTTAACACGTGTTAATTTACACTGTGAAAAGATATACATTTACTCCAATCATTCTTAAGTGCATAGTTCAGCGGCATTAAGTATGTTCATACTATTGTGTAACTAATCTCCAGAACATTTTCTCCTTGAAAAACTTAAATGCTCTTCCCATTAAACAGTTACCTATTCCATCTGCCCCAGTACCTGACAACCAGTTATGCTCTTGTGTTGATGAGCTCAACTGCTCTGGAACGTCAGGCAAGTGGCATCATGAAAGGTTAGTGTTTGTGTGCCTGCTTATCTCATGAAGCTGGAAGCACTCAAAGTTCATCAGCGTGTGCTAAAATGGAAAGATGACTTTTTAGGATAAAAGATTAAAGAACTTTTGAATTCTAAATAGGAAAATACTGTAAAAGGATACTTGAGTGTAAGAACCTGAAAGAGTAAATAAAATCTGAAAGGTATATTATATACTGTGAGGAGGAAAGAATCTATTCAAAGAAAAGGAAAAACTGTTACGAGGAAAAGGACAAAAATTAGAAGAGGAAAAGATATAGCTGGCATATGGAAAGGGGCAGTTAATGCTTAACTTTTTTCCTTTTTTTAAATTTCTTATAACTTTTCTTTTTTATTAGCAATTTTGCATGTTTATATCTAGCAATCTAAACAGCTAATTTGAATATAACATTATGTAGTACAACAATCATTGCTGAATTCCTATTACTTTGTTTAATGAAATTCTGTATTTTTTCTAATTTTTTTTTGTTTTATCTTCCCTTTTTTTAACCATTTTGTATTTCTCTTAAAAAAAAATAAAAGAATATTTGGACATGGAGGAGGAAAAGGTAAGAATGTACATTTGTGATTCCAAAGGAGGGAGCAAGGGATGGGATTCCAGCTTGGGCAGAAGGACACTGTGATGAAGTGCAAGGAGAACAGAATGAACACAGGTGCATAAGTCAGTAAAAGCACAGTGTTGAGAATCAATGCAATTTCACTCTGATGGTTTTGAATGTATGAGTGACCAAAAGAAGGAATAACAGACATTTCTACTCCATGAGTATTACAGAACAAATTATCTGTAAGAGTTCTGGGCCATGATCACAACAGAGCCCCGTGAACATTCTTATCCTTAGGGAAAAATAAAGAGTTAAATATTGACTATGTTAGGCAACCAAATGGTATTGTCTAACCACTTTAAAGACTTAGGTCATAATTAACTTTTTACAGAAGTTAAGTTCTATGTATGGTAACTCCAAATGTAGAACTACTGACAATACTTCGACTACATATAGATAGATGTGATACATCGAAAGAGCCACTTTGAAATTCTCACCGACAGTGTCTGGTTGGAGAGATGCAACAGATACCTCCATTCCAATCAGTCCAAAAAGAAGCGGCTGGAAAATGTCCCAGGCAACAGCAACTATCTTTTCAACCTCACCCTGAGAGAAAAGCGGAACACACGGAGACATTTGTAGTATGGTAAGTGACAAATTTTAAGAATCTTACTAATTTGAAATCTAAGTCATTTGATCTGAGGAATTAGCTTTCTGAAATGTGTGAAGGAAAATATTCAGAAAAAAAGGAGGCCCTGCTAGGGCAGCAGCTCCAGGCAGGGGGCTTGCCTTGTGCATGCAAGGCCCTAGGCTTCACTGCTGGCCCTCGAGAAAGAGAGGAAGAGCAGGAAGCCAGGGAGAAAGGTGGCTGCATTCTCCTGCAGGGCAGCCCGCCTGCCCAAGAACCACAGTGTAGCCCAGAGGAGAGGATGCCTGCAGGGTCTTTTCCTGTGACCTGCAGAATCTGTGCAAAAAATTTGGAACTACTGGTTCAAAGACATGTTGGAGTCAGTGTGGTTGTCTTTTCATCCAAAGAAGGCATGAAAACAATACAAATCAGTGGTTTAGTGTGGTGCTCAGATTGGCAGCATTGAGATCCTTTGGAAATTTGTTGGAAATACTGTTGTCTGCCTAATTTGGATACTAGAGTGTGGGGTCCAGCAAATTTAATTTTAGCCTTCCATGTAACATTCACATTTATGTATGTATGTATGTATGTATGTATATATGTATGTACGTATGTATTTAGTACAGGGTCTACAGTGTCTCACTACACAGATCAGATTTGTAGTGATCCTCCTGTTTCCAGCCTCGCAAGCGCTGGGTTTATAGGTGCGTGCCACCATGCCCAGTCTCAATTGCTGTCTCAGCATGCCTGGGGGGCGGGGCCAGCACAGCACACTGGAGATCCAATCCCTGTCCCTGTGTGCCTGCCTGAGCAGGCACTTTGGTAGGCTGAGCTACCTGGTTGGCCCTCTGATTCACTTTAAAGTCTGGGAAACATGGTTCTCAGCTGATGAAGTACTTCATGTATTACTAGTAGAAAAGTAAACATATGCAGCTCTACAAAGCTGTTTAACACTATGCATTAGCACCCTCAAAATCTTTATATTACTGGACTCTCAAATTTTAGGAATCTGCCATAAGAAAATGATCAGAAATTCAATTTCAGCTTGATTTTTTTTTTCTCTGAATGCCTTCAGGGCAGGTTTGACTGGCTTGGGTTGTGGGGATCGAACCACAGCAACCTGAGCCTGACTGCTTTGTTGAAGCAGCCACTTAAAGAACTGAGCTAAGGGGCAGGCCCCCTCAGCTTGATTTAAATAGCAGAGACTGCAAAATATATACATTGGAACAATCAACTATGATATTCTGTGTGTGTACACACATGCATATGAATGCAGATAAGGAGATAAATGCATAAGAGAGAAACTGGAGCTACAGATGGAGGAAAGATGCAGTTCTCCTCTGGGTGGTGGCTTACATGCCCGCCTGGGTGGGGGCTGGGCCACAGGCAGCTCAGGACAAGTCATGGCAGATGCAGACATGGACAGCGAGGGTCTGGTTGTCACAATTTTCCTGTATGGCCCACATGCTAGTTTTCCTGCAGATGGGTGCAGCAAGAAGTGAAGCAGGCCCCTCCCTATTGCTGCTTCCTGCCAGAAGCTCAAGCTTCTTTCCTCAGAGAAAGCTTCAAGCTCCCAGGGTTGCCAGGGGCCAACACCCCATTGGGCACCACTCCAAATCCTGCAGCTTATCCGGGGGTTACTCTTTCCTAGTTCATTACTTACAAATTTAGAGGCTTAATTTTGAATTGCAAGGTTTAGAATTCCTTGGTCGGTGTCATTGTAATACATATCAATGAAAAACACGTACACATACTAATGGCACCATGATAGAGTAGTACAAGAAATTTTTGGAGTCAGATCAATCTGACTGAAAAATATTTTAAAAGGAAATTAAAATATAAATAAACATATAAGAGGGTGTCGGGATATGAGTGTGATATAAAGGTAGGGCAAATACGAGCATGAATTATTTCATTTTATATAAGCACTGTGTGCTAACCGATGGAGCCACTGGAGCCTCAATCATCTCATTTTAGAGGAGGGATGGCTTACTAGAAGCTCCTGGAGGAAAGTGGAATTTGTGTCACAGTGTAATTGATGCAGTTTGTCTTGGCATAAAGCCAGAATAGCCTAAATGTCCCTTAGCAGGAGTCTGGCTACCTACAGTATGGCCTCACCACAGTGTGACAGTCTGCAGCCCTGGCTGTTGTGTGAGTGAGGACCTCGACTCCAGACTGACAGAGTGGGGAAGCTATGCGAGCGTGCAATGGGGAACATATAAGTGTATGTGCAGAAAACAGCACCTATGGGCAAGAATGTGATTAAGGCTGGGAATCTGCACACAAAAGATCAGTCATAAAAACATCAGAGCAGAAGTTGAACCAAAAGGTCACCTTTTCGTCGCTCCATCCCAAGCCTGCCAGGAAGGCGGTAACTAGAGTGCACAGCCCACCGGAGCCAGGGATGCCGAAGCGCACACTGCTGAACACGGCCAGCATGGAGAAGCCCAGCAGCAGGGAGGCGCGGCTCAGCACCAGGGGGGCCTGCAGGATGGAGGGACAGCACATGAGGCACCTGGTATGACAGGCAGCCTGTCAGAGGAAGTTCAGGGTTCAGAGGAAATGAAAACATCCTTCATGGGCATGAGCACAGGAGTTACTCTTCTTCCTTCATAGAGCAGAGGCAGAGTACATGCAAACCTAGACCTCCTCTAGGAAGCCAGTTCTCCCCTTTGGCAGTTAGCAGTGCAGACTTAGCCTGGTGGAGCAGCAGAGAGGCAGGGCTACAAGGCCAGCCTTTCAGCATCCTTGCTTTGCCTCTCCAAGCTGTGACCTGATCTATGAAAGGACTTAGGCCACAGGGTTTTGGTGAAGGCTAAAGCTGCAATGCTAAGCAGGTGTGGCAGTGTGCCTGGCTTCCCTGCATTCTGGAGGTTAAGGGAGGGGGATGGCAGGTTCCAGCTAAGCCTGCACAACTTGATGTCCTTGTCTCAAGATTCTAAAAAATCTTAGAAAAGGCCAGGGAAGTAGCTCAATGCAAAGTCTCTGGGTACAATTTCCAGTACTTCTTCCTCAAAAGAAAGAAAAATGTATCTATTCTTTTCAGTCTGTTTACTCTTTCTTTCAATACCTGATTTTCCTTTCCAAAATCTTGAATACCAGGAAGGTTTCTTAAGAGGTAAGAGCAGTTGTTTGTTGTTGTCCTACCACCTAGGACCCTGTCCTTCTGCCCTGATATTTCCATCTTAAATTCCTGACTACTGCAGAAAGTAATCTCAACAGTGCTTTCCTTGGGGGTGCACAGCCCAGGGCGGGTCACCTCCCTCCCTGCAGCCTTGCTGCTTTCTAGCCAGTGACTGTGCAAGCCCCTTGTCCTATGAGCCTCAGTGTCCCTGTGGGCTCTAGGGCAGTATGATCAGTGCTCTCCCTGTGGACTGTGTGTGTACTGCACCAGACAGACTTCCCACGGGACGTTCAGGGATGGTGGAAGCACCTGTGTCTGCTGCAGCTGCACCTGCTCAGGGCTGGAGACCAAGCAGAGGACTGCCACACCAGACTTAATTTACCTTGTCTGTTTAGCAGTAAGAATCATAGTGTGAGCCACTGTATCTCTATTATACTGTGTAATTACAGTAGTCCTGCAATTTTCTCCTTTTCTCTTTCTTTTCTCTCTCTTTCTTTCTTATTCTTTCTTGAGAGAGGGTCTCCTTATATGAATAATGCAGACTGGCCTTGAACTTGTGATCCTCTTGCCTCAGCCTCCCAGATGCTTCAGAGGGCCACCATGCCTGGCTCTATAATTTTCTTTTACATATTCATAAAATCTTTTCAAATGTTTTTACTTGGATAGTTTTGAAGCACAATAAAAATTCAAATTAACATATAGTTTGATAATAGATGATACCATTTCTTTAGTTAAGTTTCTAATTCCATTCAAAATAATATCAGTTTTACCAAAAGAAAACATTTCCGTATGTTTATGTACCTTGAGAGACTTAGCAGTGTAAAGAAAAATGAAACTTTGCTTTTCAGTACAAGATCATTGCATACCATAAGAACTTGGCCCTTTTTACTGAGAAACCTTTTGCTGTATTATAATGAAATGTCAAGACTTATCCATTTGATAAGATGAAATCTAACAAAACCAGAAGCCAAAAGCCCTATCTCTTAAATTTAGTTGAGTATTTTTTTTTCATATCCATATCCATTTATTTTTTTTTCATTTTATTTTTTATTTTTTTCATAATTTTATTGAGAAACAAATAGCAATGAGACAGTTTCAA